AATCTGAGTGGCGTATTGAGTGGAAGGGTTGGGTTGCTGGAGGAGGAGATGTTGTACGCCGTGATATTAATGCTCAAGGCATCTTCTTCTGAGTTTTCCATGTGGTTTTAATCTTTGTTATTCTCTCAGGCACCAGGCCCTGATGGTAATGGAGCCGCCTGCAATCGTCCAATTAGCCAGGCTAGACTCTGTTGAATGTCTTGGAGGATGGCAGTCTGATGGTCCTGCGTCTCTATGACTCCTGGCAGGGCTGTCCGAACTACCCTCACATCCGCATACATATTGGTCAGATTCATTTCCTCTAACTCCCTAACGTCCGTTTCTCTTCGCTGCATCCTGGCTTCTCTTCTAATCATTCTCTCTTTCTCCGCCTTTATCTCTCATAAAGCCTTTTGTAGTTGTGCCTCTTGCAGGGCAGCCTGCTGTATGGCGATCTCCTCGGGTGACAACACACTTGATTGGCTTGCCATTACGCCAGCCGACTGACTTTGGGTATGCGCCGCAGTTGACCCTACAATTCCTGAACTCCCAGCCTGAGAGGTTTGCTGAGCAACGCTAGCCATGGCTCTGAAGCAGCGACTTCACTTGCTAAAGCTCATTCGGCTTCTGCGTCCCTAGCTCTTTGCTGTTGCCGCCTCCTTTCCCTATGCTGTCGGAACAAAAGTCTGTCGCCCTTTGGTCCTAATGCCAGATGAGCAATTGGGCGTCTTACTGATCGGAAGATCCGGTCGTCCGGTTGTTGAATCACCTATCGCTCATAAGCTACAGTACAGGGCACAATCTGCACTAGGATACTCTAGGTAGCTACCGCAACGTAACGACCAAACCAATTTAAAATAAATAAATAATTAGTTGATGACTATTCGGAGCAGATACATTCAGGTCCAGCAGGTAAGTGCAGATTCCTACAAATAACACTACTCTACTTTGACTAGTCCGCAAACAGAAGCACAATGAAAAATGAACAGTTTTAAACTATGTTGTCTGTCAGATGTCAATGGTTGTACATCTAACTAATCGAAATAAAAATAATGTCATTTGTTGGGTCTGTTCACAGCATGGAATCTTTGTCAAACTTATCACCTAGAATCTACCCTTTCCCCAATTCCCCTTGATTGTCACTTGACGTCAGCGTTCCTGAGCGATCCGGTAGCGTGCGTGACTAAAGGTGTGCACACGGCCCACCCCTGTACCCTGAGTAGCTGCTGAGATGGCCAGCCCTACACGGTGTTTACCCTCGCGTGCAGCGAGCCTTACACCAACTAGCTGATCAAGACGTAATTTAACGATCGCCCCCAAGTGTCTCCAGGAATTATTTTACGTCGCAGCTAGACGACGATCACAACCAGTGGTTTCCCCTGCCGGTGTTTATTTATAGACGTCCGGTACTCGTCTCTCCCATAGGGCTGGCCTGCCCTTCGGTACGCCTTCTATGAGCGCAGCAAGCAGACAAGGACAAAGCAGCAAAGCATGCGTGCTCTACTCCTGGTGGGTTGGCATGGTGACTGTGACCCAGTGCTACGTCTAGGGCCCTTCAGAAAGCACCGCCCTCGCCTTCCAGATGCTCCACAAGAACAATGCCGACTCTCAAGGTTGAGCACACACGACACCTCACAATGA